CTAGTGAATGCTTCAGTGGTATATTCTAGGGCTCAGCTGCTAACCAGAAGGCCGGCAGTTCGAAGCCACCAGCCTCTCTGTAGAGGACGGCTGTGGCAGTCCGCTTCTGTAAAGATTACAGCCTTGGAAACCCGCCAGGGCAGGTCTTCTCTGCCCTCCAGGGTCATTATGATCAGAAGGGACTCCACAGCCCTGGGTTAGTACTTTCTACACACCACTCGCTGTTGGGAGCTTCTTACACAGACTAGTTGAACTTCCCAACAAGCCGCAGAGGAAGGGCCTGTTTGGATCCCCATTTTGTAATTGGCCTATGTGCCAGCCAAGTGCCAAGCTTGGTGCCGCCCTTGAGTGGGGGCTAGAGATCCCCAGGGTTCCTCATTGCTCCCTGGAGAGGCAGAGGTGCGTGCAGAGAACCGGCCAGCCCTGACCTGAGACAGAGGGCTAGGGCGGAAGGAGGAATGCTGGATTCAGGGAACCTGTGGCTAGATTTGCAGGCTCTGAGTATACTGGGTCCTGCCTGGCTCCAGGGCTGGAAGGTCAGGTTCTAGGGGTAGGGCAGCAGCCTGTGTAGCCACTCAATGCTTTGTGAGCCTGTTCGGTTCAGGTAGAGCAGCGGGTCCCCTAGGCCAGGGCGTGGGCGGGGCGAGCCAGCCTGACGCAGCTCTGCACCCCACCTACCACCACCACCCCCAGGGCCGGCGGCGACGGCTGCCCCGCGGGACGCGGCCCTAGGCGGTGGCGATGGGGGCCGCCCGGATCGCGCCCGGCCTGGCGCTCCTGCTTTGCTGCCCGGTGCTCAGCCACGCATACGTGCTGGTAAGTCCCCGCTCGGCCCGCTGGAGGAAGGCGCCGCGGGGTTCGCTCTGGGGTCCTGGGGGCGGGCCGGGAAGGGAGCCTTAGTTTCGCAGAGGACTCCGAACTTTGAGAAGGGAGGGAGTCTCCCCCTGAACCTGGACCCTGAGAGTTTGCTGTCTCCAGGGTATCTGGACCTGGGGTCCACAGCCTGTGGTCTCCCCATCTGGCCAGCCTGGATATGGGGCCCCAGGTCTGGAAAGCTGTGGTCAGTGTTCTTTCTCCTCGGCTTCTGTGGGCACCACGGCTCTGACCTCTCTTGGAACATGACAGCCTGGGCTTTGGTGGCCGTCTGTTTCGGGGTTGGGGGCTGGGGATGGAGGGGCTCTCCTTGCTGTAAGTTTTGTTTGCGGTCCAGGACACCGGCTCCTCCTGAGATGGGGAGGTTTTAGGAAGCCCCTTCAGCTCTCTCAGTTGCACATATGCATGCATGCATCCACAGGCACACAGGCACAGCTTCCCCAGAGCAGGAGGAGGTAAGGGTGCTGTGGCCTGGGGTGGGGGTGGGGTCTGGTGGTCTTCTGAAGAGAACACCCCTCTTGCTGAGAGGAACTCAGTGAACACCAAGCCACCCTGGGAGGACCCTCCTGAGAACAGAGACTGAGAGAGATGTAAAGACAGAATGGGGGAGAAACCCAGAGAGAGGAGAGGGCTGCAGGGACAAAAGGAGTGGACAGACAGCCAACAGCAGAGAGAGAGCTGGGGAGAGATAGGAAGAGAGCAGAGAAGTGGAGGGGCAGGTTCCCCCCCACCCCCTGTAGTGATGGGGTGGGGTGGGCATCGGATCTCACAGCAGTCCTGCCCCAGGGGATCAGCTCATTCCGGAGAAGCCTGTCTGCTGCACCCCAGGGAGGGGGGCTTTGCCTACCCTAGAGACATAGGGATGCAGGCAGCCTCTTCCTTATGAGGAGCAGAGACCCCTGCCCAGGGCAGAGTCTGGCGGAGGAGGCAGGAGCTCTGGGATTCCCCTACGTCCAGTCTGATGTCTGTGTAACTTTGGGGGCTTGCTTCCTCCACACCTGAGTGTCTATGAAAAAGAAAGGCAGGAAAGAAGCCCCTCCTG